TAGAAGCTAGTAAAAGCTCTCATTTTTACAGGGCTGTTTTTCCACCCTAACAGTCTAAGACACTTTCTTAAGCATTCCCATAAACTGTGTGACCCCTGTGGCCACACAGGCCGAAGATAGAGGGTCACTTAAATGCCAGCTATTCAGAACAGAGTCCTCATTGTTCACTGCTGGGACATTTAGAGTCTTTGCAGCAATGGGGGTTGCAAATGGCAGCAATGTCTGGTCAAGTTTGGGCTTTTATTGCTTAAGATGCAGGGACTGTTATGGCTTTTGATGCCAGAAAACAAGCGAAATCACCCATGCTCATGTAGTTGTCAGGAAGCAAAAGCCTGAAGTCTGGCTAGGTCATGGGTCCATCCCTCCCTACTGTGGAAGTGACAGGAGTGACACCAGGGATGACTATGGCCCATACTGGCCACATCTACACTAGAAATCTCATCTGTTTGTGACCAACTTGGTTACTTTGGATAGGCTGAAGCACAGAAGATTCAAAATGCCGGTCACATTAGTTATGCCAAATTATGTTAAGGTCAGCTGGGGGCATTGCCCTGCTACAGAACTGGCACTTTGCTAGACTGACTCAGCTGCAATACCCTCTAGTACACATCACACAATCCAGAGCCCAGCTTCCAGGAGCACAGTCTGGGAGACTTGTCAGAAGCCATTGTGGGACACCTAAGGGAATTGAGAGAGAAAGTAACAGAGGGTCCTGTGGCACCTTTAAGACTAACAGAAGTATTGGGAGCATAAGCTTTCGTGGGTAAGAACCTCACTTCTTGCATCTGAAGAAGAGAGGTTCTTACCCACGAAAGCTTATGCTCCCAATACTTCTGTTAGTCTTAAAGGTGCCACAGGACCCTCTGTTGCTTTTTACAGATTCAGACTAACACGGCTACCCCTCTGATACGTGAGAGAAGGTGTCTAATTTCCATAGCCCCTGGGAAACTCCCATATTTCCCCAGGGTAGCCAATAATGTATTTGGTGTCAGGGTGATTTTTAAGGTCTAGTCTTCACATCACCATGGTATTTAGATAACCCGCTACTGGAGCGGCGTGAGGGAGCAGCACTAGATTTCAATGGCAGAAGCCATCTGAACCTGATCTTTTGCAGCAAGAAGTGGTTTAAGCTCATGCAGGAGGCTAAGGATGGTTTTGGGTGGTGAACAACTTTGTCTGAGCCCAGCAGCAAGAGTTTAGTGATCCTCACTGAGAAGAGTTTTACACATTTCTTTGCAGAGTTCATTCAGATCTGGATTGAGTTCACGCCACACCAGCTGGATCCATTGTGGTGGCGGGAACGAACACAAAGCCTTCTCTACTTGGATTTCAGCCCATGGCATTTGCTGGAGCTCTGCAGATGGTAGGGTATATTTGGGATCAAAGGGTTCCATTTTGTCACTCCCTCTAGTTCAAAGTCTATAGTGGGGGGTGGGGTTTGGGAAGAAACATGGGTTCACGTGTCTTGTATGCTGATGGCACCAGCTCCCTATTTCCGTCTCCTCCCAGAAAGGATGGAAAGTCTTAGAAGACTGGAGTTTGGATGAGGGCTAGGCAGCTCAGGCTCAGGCCAGGATGAGATGATGTACAAATTGGAGGAAATGGAAGTCACTATGTGTGATAAGGTATATAAACCCCGCACTAGCATGGAAGGGGGTAAGGAGCTTATTTGGACCAGAGTGGCTGTGGCCTCACCCACAAATCATGCCACAACTGGAGGAGGAGCTAAAAAGAGGGAACCAGGGGAGCCCTGGGATGGAAACAGACTGGTGAGCTTCTCCAGACCTGGAGAGAGAACTGACAGCCAGAAGGAAGGTGCAGAATCTCTCAGGTGTAGGAGAAAAGAGCGGAGACTTGCACTGGAAGCCAGTGGACACTGATACTCCCAGGGCTCCTCTGAAGTAAAAGAGGCCACAACCTGAAGGAGCAGCTTACCGGTTTTGCTTTGCCTTTCTTTTGCTTAACCCCTTTTGCAGACTATGGCCTGTTTGTTGGCATCACGGGGGACACAGAGAGGGGATGAGCCAGACAAGCAGCCCTAGCCAGAAGTTGAGTGCCAGCCCACTAGAAAGACACCCTCCAGCACCTGCTGAGGTGGGGTGGAGCAATTGGACTCACATGCATGTACTCCCTATGTAGTCTAAAGGTGATGTCCTAGTGAGGTCAGATTTGTGACACTAGGTCAGCACAAATAGGACATATCCATCCCGTTTCTAACATCAACAACACAAGGATCTTGATGGATCCCCTACTGCAATGAGATTCGGAGGTAGCAATGGTTGCCTAGTGCATTTTTCCTCTGTGCTTGACAAGGGGTTGTGTATTTTCCTTTCAGATGCAGGACTCTGCTACATGTCACCTTGAGAATGGTTACTGCAATGTACTCTCACATCTTTAGAGATTGCATGCGGTGCAGAAACTGTGTCTTGGTAAACAGAGGGTCAGAACAACAACACAGATCAACACATCTGTATACAAAGATTAACACAGTGTTCTGCCTGTATACACCCAGCCATACACACACACACACACACTTCTAGGGTACACACAGGGCCGCCCAGAGGATTCAGGGGGCCTGGGGCAAAGCGGGGGAGCTGCGGCCAGGGCCGGCTTTAGGCACCGCGGGGCCCGATTCGAAGGAGCTGCCGCTGAAGTCCTGCAGCTGTCTTCGGCGGCAGCTCAATCGCTGCCACGGAGGAAGGTCCCTCCGCCGAAATGCCGCCGAAGACAGTGGCAACGATTGAGCTGCCGCCGCCAACAGTGCCGGGACTTCGGTGGCAGCTCAATCAGCTGCCGGTGCGTTCGGCGGCACTTCAGCGGAGGGACCTTCCTCCGAAGACAGCAGCGGGACTTCGGCGGCAGCTCCTTCGGGACGTTGCGGGGCCCTCTTAGGGGCGCGGGACCCGATTCCGGCCCTGGCTGTGGAGCTTGTACTGACCCAGCGGTGGTCCGGGTCTTCGGCGGCATTTCGGCAGCAGGGGGCCCTTCAGATGCGCCGCGTCTTCGGCAGCACTGAAGGACCTGCCGCCAAAATGCCGCTGAAGACCCAGACCGCCGCTGGGCCAGGGCTTGCGGGACCCCTGCGGGGCCCAGGGCCTGGGGAAAATTGCCCCACTTGCCCCCCTCCCCTGGGTGGCCCTGGGTACACGTGTGTACGTGCTACCTGATCCAAAGCCTGAAGTCAATGGGAGTCTTTCCAGTTCGTTGAATGGGCCTGGATCAGGCCCAATGTGTGTACACATGCACGTGCACATGCACACACTGGTTGGAAACTGCCCTGCTAGTTCCCCAGCAAGCTCTGGATGCTGCAGGATAATGATAGAACTTAGCATTTATATAGCTTCAAACATGTAACACTCACAGTACATGGCACAAGCCCTGTATCAGCATGACGCACAGAACCCCAGATGTATTTGTGCAGCAGAGCAGGCTAAGGTGGTGATCGCCCTTGTCCTATGTCTGTCTTTGGAGTTGGTGCTCCCGGGTATGTGCTCTGATCCCACCACTTCTGGGTGCATGCTCCATAGTATTTCATCAACAGTTTTTTTGAGAGACACACTCTGTAGCTCCTCCTATCACCATTTTGGGAGGGGGTGAATTTTGTACCTATCCATGCCCCATTTTGGGAAGCTCCTCTTCCCATGTCTCTGCTTTGCAGTGCATATTATTTAGCCCCTCACGCCATCTTTCTAGGGTGCAGGTTCCCATTCATGCCACCCCTTTTTCAGATGTACACCCTCCACTCCTGCTTTGAGGAGAGCTGCTCCATCTCCCCATTGGCATTTTAAGTAGTGCTATCAATTCCAGATTAAAAACAGAGAAAAAAACAGGCCCCCTCACACGAGGGCTGAGTGACATGTAAAACGTCTCATTTAAGGATGCTCCCTGCTAATGGATTGCAAATTGCTTCAATCAGCTCCGATATTACAGATTGCTCGTCTGAAATTGCTGTAAGGAGCTCATTCCGGGGGCCAAATGCACTTCCCATCTTGGGCAAATAACCATCACATAGTAGCAATAGTAAGTTGTATGCAAATGAGGCACTGACATGGGCCTCACTGGGGCTTTAGACACATCCCCTTCATCTCCAGCTAGGGGCTGCTTGGGGACACACTCTCTCTCTCACTGCAGTACTGGGCTCGGATATCGGTTACAGATTACAAAGCCAATTGCTGTGACAGCTGCATAATTCCACAGTAAATGTAACAAAGCGGCCCTCCTGGACTCAGAGAACATCGTCACCATTTAATCAGCTGAAGGCACTTTTAAAATCTCACACTGGGGTTGCAGTGGGACAGCCGTGCTAAAAAGGGACGAGGGTGAAGATTTGGATTTTTGTTGCATCACATTGCCTGCTTGCCTCCCACCGCACAGCAGTAGCAGCCCCATGGATTTCTGGGTAACAGAGACTAGGGCATTGAGTCCAGGCAGAGTTGAAGGGCTGTGATTAACCACCTGCCTGAGGCATACCCAGCTGCTTGTCAGACAAGAGGCAATAGGTACTTGAATAGGGCTAAAGGTCAGTGGTTTAATGGGGCTACTGCTTTCTATTCAATAGGCAGGTGGGCGCAGCAGCCTTGACACAGAGGTGATTTTGTACCAAACAGATGACAAGTAGAAATAATTAGACCAGCCAATAACAATTAAATCCAGTTAGCAAGTGGAGACAATCAGAAGGTGCAAGGGTGCAGGAGGGAGGCAGAGATGAAAACCATGTCTGTACTTACAAACCTCTGGATGGGCACCTTCACCATGCAATATCTGTACTATGTTTCACAGCCATCCAGATGTTCTGCATGCATTGGTCATAATGATTGGTTGTAATACCCAGGACAAGGTCTTGAGCTCAGGCCTGACTGAACTGGTGCCATCTACAGTGGTTTCTTCCCAACATGATGCATGTGATGGACACATGCACTGGAGCATTAGCCCCCTCAATACTATCCCACAATGCAGTGGCTTGCGTTTTTACCCAGAAGCCAGTTCCCAGCACAGCTTACCTGTCTGGTGGAGTCTTTATGTTACGGGAGGTAAAAGTGCATCTACTGCATATTTCAGGGATTTGGAGATAGGCAGGGGGCCTTGTTAAACCTCCCCCTACCGTTTCACATAGGCTGCTGGGCATCATAGATCTTCATGAATCTGAAAGGACAAAAAGGAAATGCAGCCAAGGCAACAATTTACAGCAGAAGTCCAGACCATTTACCTGTATTGACTCCAATGAAGAAACTGCCCTTCTTGATATTACTCTAATGTTATATAAGACTACTACTAGCAATGTGATTTCCTACCCATGTGGCAGACACCTGGTAATATGTCCATCCAGCCTTGGATACAACCTACCCTGGCTCCCCACCTCCAATTCACACACACCCCGAGAAAGGGGAAGGGGAGAAGGACCTACCACAGAGGTTATAGCTGCCCTTGGAACAGGGGAGGCAGTAGCTGTAATGGTTAGAGCAAGAGTCTGGCTATCAGGACTTTTGGATGAGAACATTATGAATTATCTGCTGGAAGCCAGAGCTGATGCATCTTGTTGAGACTAACGAGGCTATTGGCAGAGACATATTTCTTGCAATTTCTGGTTCTGGCAGAGGTGGAGTGTTTGTTATGATCTCAGTTACAGAGAGCCTTGGCAAGCCTCATACAAAGCGCACTTACACTTGCTATTATTTTTTTAAAAGTAGTCCCTGACCACAGTGCCTAACCATTGAGTCCTAGATTTTCAAGTATTTCTTTTCTATCTAAATATTAAATGGGGTCCATATCCTGTAATTAAAGCTTTAAGGTTGTTTTTTTATTTAATAATATCTTAGTGAAAGTGAATCAGCAAGGTTCACATGGCTATAGAGATAACAGGTCAAATTCACGGAGGTCAGTGGAGCTGCATCTGCTTAGCTGCAGGGCTGACTTACCATTATTTGTATTATGGTAGCACCTACCTACCCCAACTCAAATCAGGGCCCCATTGTGCTAGATGCTGTACATACACAAAGAAACAGACCTGCTCTGAAGAGCTTACAAACTAGCTAGACAAGATAGTAACAAAAACCGAGGCAGAGAGAGTTTCAGTGATTTTGTCACAGGGAATGTGTGACAGCCAGGAATTGAATGCACATCACCTGAATCCCAGGCCAGTACCTTAAAAGCAAGGAAGGCCTTGTGGTTATGTTTAACTTTTAATATTATTTTGAATGTGGTAGGATTAACAGTGTGATGGGCACTTCCCAGACACAGGTGGAAACACAGTCCCTTCCTCAAAGACCATCCAAGCTAGAAGGACAGTCAGATGAAGGGTGAAGGAAAGGAGTGTAATATACAAGTAAAGTGATCAGCATAAGTAAAGGCACATGACATTGTAAACCTATTAAATCGCCTTCCTTGTACAATTCACCCTTTGGGCGTTTCTTCCACATCAGTTGTAATATTCTCATTAAACTGAGACCGCCTGGGCTGACAGCGGCACTGCTGCTAACCATTGAGATTTTGGAAGTCTTGCAATATTTATTTGTTTGTTTTTTTAAAAAAAGGTTCACGTGATTTTTCTGATTTCTGTTTTCAGATTCACAAAGTTTTGCCCTTATCCAAAATTGCCACCATCTCCCATGGCACAGACTGCCCTCAGCAAGATGGTCGCTATTTCCCTACAATCTTTTCAGGTGAAAGTGAGGCTCCTCCCTCAGGAATGCTCAGTCCACACTCTAGATCCTCTCTCCATAGGGGCCTCCTCCCACCTCCTTGACATTCAGGTGCAGTAACCAGTCATTTGCCTCAGCGAGTCAGCACTTACCAGTACCCACTTAGCCCTTTCCCAGCAGGCCCTGCACTTGCTAATGGTGGCACTCACTTGTGTCATAGCACATAATTTCTGCTCCCTGACAGGATGATTTCATGTAAAGGTTTCAAGATGGCCATACAAACACTTGCAGCATGAATACTTGTGCAAATATGTATTCATATGAGTATTTGTGCAACAAGACTTCCCTTATACAAATGTTCATGAAAAACAAACAAGAGTTGCTAGTACTAGAGTGAACATGTGCGTTGTATTCAAACAAATGACTGCAACTTCTGTCACTCGCCCTAGATCTCCATATTAATAAGGAAAGGAATGCTCTGGCTGCACACTGAGCCCAATCAGCAAAAATCCCCAAACAAGTCACTTCTCCAGAGCAGAATCTTTTAGAGTCTGAATATTCCCCATCAGGAGCTCTGCACGCTAGGGAGACCAGATGGAAATTAAGCTCTTGATGGGAGGAACATTAAGGCATTAATTCAGTTGTCAGGCTGCATCTAAAAGAATCATGTGCAGAATATGGAGGTAATAACGAAGGCTGCAGTGGGGGCTGGCTGGTTGGACGGTCTCAGGAGAACATTTTGGTAGTTTAAGTTCAACATGGGGTCAGCAGCCAAAATCTTGAGTTTGGCTAGTCCCCAAAATCCAGCTAAAAGCCCTAGCCCCAGCACTCTGGGCTTCTAAAGGAATCTGAACTCCAGAGTCAGATCCATATTTTGCAGATAGCCAGAGTGGGCTGAACAACCTAGACGTGATGGGAGGGAGCGAATGAGAATGGAAACCTGAATGTCACTGCAGAGTACTGTCTCCTAGATTGGACCCATAATCAGAGGCTATTCAGAGTGCCGACCCAATTGTGTGGCTTTGGGCCTCCCCTATATCTGAAATCATCACATTCCCTACTGTCTCCTTCTGCCACCAGAGCTTGGCACACATTAGTCAACTTCTCTGAAGCTTATGAGGCTGGGTGCCTGAATGTGGACTCCCTTTGGGACAGGTTTCCATGAAGGGAGGGCAGAAAATCACAGGTGGGTCCGAGTGGCCATGTTCAGACTAAAATTCAGAGTGCCCCAATGTTCCAGAAGTTGTGGGAGTTTGAACCTTGGGTTCTGTTTCTGGCCCATTTTCACTGAAATCAAGAGGAACTGGGGATGTGAAATCCCCAAGGAATCGATACATGGAAATTGTCAAAAATAGAAAAACTGGGGTTGTTTCATCCCCAGAATTCCAGACCTCAGAAACTGTCAAAAATGCCTATCTTATTAATATCAATGCAGAAAAGCTTGGGTAGAAATGGGCCACAGTCCAAATGGTTAATGCACCTGTTATTGCTTTATTATACACTATTATTTAATATCAGCGCTCCAACAGGGGCTGGAAATCCCTTTATAGCTTGTGTAAATATTTTATACTTGTTACTGTAAATAGAAAAGCTTAAGAACAGGCAGAGGAGGGGATGGGAGTTGGGCTCTGGGATTGCAGTATAAAGAGCACAGCGTGTGGATACAGATAATTCTATCTGCCTGCATCAGCTGCCAGTGCTCCCCACAACAGGAACGGAAAGAGGTTTCAGTTAGTCTTTCCTGACAGCACACAGAAGAGAAAGAGAGATGAGGATTCAGGAGGAAGAGCGACTTGACAGCCAGGCCCTGGGGAGCTTATCCAAGAGTTCCTGGGCTTCACTGGAGTCTGGGTGAATAAAAGCTGGTCTACACAGCTTCTACACCCCTATAAGGGATAGCTCAGTGGTTTTGGGCATTGGCCTGCTAAACCCAGGGTTGTAACTTCAATCCTTGAGGGGGCCATTTAGGGATCTGGGGCAAAAATCTGTAGGGATTGGTCCTGCTTTGAGCAGGGGGTTGGACTAGATGACCTCCTGAGGTCCCTTCCAATCCTGATATTCTATGATTCTATAAACCAGTAAACTGATCTAGTTAAAGTGGTACAGCCCCTAGAGTGTAAAGGTGCTTATATTAGTACAGCTTATTCCCCTAAGTATAGGGGCTAGGGGTATAAACACTTTGATACAGGTATAATTGCATCCATCGGGGGTTGTACCACCTTAACTATTAGTTTATATACTGATACAGCACTACAAAACCACATAGAAAAGTTCTTTGGGACACAGAGGATTTCATTTCATCACCTGTTCAAATCCAGACCACATCAGTAGCGACTGAAAGCCATTCCTGCCCAATGCCTGGTCAGTGGCCCTTTTGTGAAACAAGTTGGATGCGTCTCAGTCCAGCTCCAAGTGGGACAGGTGCCTACATCACAAAAAAAGCTGCCAACAAAATTCTATGTCCCCCTGTTAAAAATTGCAACAAAGAGGCATCCAAGGCAGGTCTGAGGTGCATGGATAGGATGGTGTGGAGGGCAGGCTTGCTACCCATACTGCACCCATGTTATGGCTAAAGACAAGCCTTCAAATTCTGGGGCCATCTAGCCAGCAGTACCTGCCACCAGCATCTTAAAAAAACAACAGCAACCCCAAGAGCAACATGAGGTGCCTACAGAGCTAACATCCAGCATGCCCAGGGCGGGAAATATAGCTGATATAGCTGTAATCTGCAGCATCTCCTCCCAGAAAGTAAACAATGGCATCTCCAAAGGGGATGTTACCCCAGCCCTGTGAATCCAGGGCAGGGGATTACAGTATCCTACATTAAAGTATCACCCCTCGCCTGGTATCTGAGAATACAGATTGCAGCTGGTTTTTCGCTTCCCACATGAATGTGATCTCAGGGCATGAAGTGAAGGGGAAAACCTCATAACAAACAGAAACAAACAACAGGCCCAAGGGCCCTATTATGCCTATGTTTGCAAAGTGGAGCAGGCTGTGATGCCGCTGGGGTCTTTAGCATATTAAAAACCAGGCTCCAAAGCCTGTAAATAAGTGAAGGGATTTGCAAGTTTGCAGGATCGCATGGTGGGGTGCTCAAATCCTGTAAATGTGATGCGATCAAATCCCTCAGATGAGGCTCCACATAACTCTTCCCCCACCCAAAGTATGTTCCTTTCAGCGGAAACTCCCCTAGGGTCTCCACAGTTGGAAAGAGGCTGCCATTTACCACACCAAGGGAAGCTGGGATGGGAATCGGGATGGGATGGAGTGAGCTACTTTCAGTGGCTTAAATCACAATAATAATTCTTAGTGCTTTCAGGTAGCTTTCCTGTGGGGATCTCAAATCCCTGAAATACAAACTCACAACCTCCCTAGGGGAGCAGGTAACGGATATATCAAAATATAGGGATTGCTTCACCCACTTCTGAAACACAGCACCCCCTAGTGAGGGATGCAGCAGCTGCTCAACAGTGCACAGTAACACTACACAGCAGTTTGGGA